AAAGAAAAAAAGAATATATGAAGCCTGTGATGCCAGAAAAAAAAAAGATAAAAAGAGAAAAAATAAAAGCCAATCTCTGAAAAGCAAGGTTCCAAAAGAGGCCTTTGCTCAGTCAGAAGTTACCATGTCTTAAAATAGTGATAAATTCTATCTAGGATTGCTAAGTAATTATTTTTCTTTCTTTCTTTTTTTTTTTCAATTGAGATAGGGTTTCATTCTACCGCCCAGGCTGGAGTGCAGTAGTGCCATCTCGGCTCACTGCAACCCCTGACTCTGGGGCTCACATGATCCTCCTGCCTCAGCCTCCCCAGTAGCTGGGACCACAGGCGTGCACCACCACACATGGCTAATTTTTGTATTTTTCATAGAGATGGGGTTTTGCTACGTTGCCTACGCTGGTCTCTGACTCTTGGCCTCTAGTGATCTGCCCATCTCATCTTCCCAAAGTGCTAGGATTACAGGCATGAGTCACTGCGTCTGGCCAAGTAATTATTTTTCACATGCCAGTAAAATGATATTGTCTGCCAAAAGCAACTGGGTAAAAACTATTACTCAGTTATAACTTTTGTACTTCCACACAAGTTTGACAGAAGATCTTACAGCTTTGAGCTGAAGTCTCCTATGGAGAGAGGCATAATCTGTTCATTTCTGTACCTGGGTGCTCTTTGACACAAGAGTTTCAAAGATTTCTTTATTATTTCTCTATTTCCCAAATTGTGGTCATAGCATTCACTACTTTGATTAAAAAAAAAAAAAAAAAAAAACACATTGTTTAAAAAAATATAGGCTCTTTAGTGTTATAAAAGAAGATTTTTGGCCTTTGATGTCAATCTAATATTAAATATAAATCCTGTAAAAGTAATTTGAGTTTTATTAACATAAAACAGTAAATAGCAGAATATTTTGGTATACTTTCATATTTTTTTCCTTTCTTGGTTTTCAAAAATGACTGATTATTCACTGTTACTTTCAAGACAAAAAAAATTCACAAAATATACTAAATCCATGATTCATCCTTCATATTCATTTAATGTTTATTGAGAACCTGTTCCATGTCAGACTAAGTGGTAGCATTCAAAGAAATGAGAGGATTTCTGCCTTCAAAAAGCTTAAAACAAATGGGAGGTATCTGAGCAACTGTGTTATGTCTACTTTAACCTTTTACCTTTCTATATTTTTTAATATGTAGTGAAATCCATGCTTTTTCCTTACTCTTGAAGACCTCAGCATTAGTGGCTGCAGTTTATCAGTTAGCTGTTACCAGGTGTACCTGGACAGCTGGAATTAATCAGTACTTGAGTCAATTTTCTGGGTTGCCTGCAAGTATCTAGGAAACCAGAAAGAAGATGCACTATAGTCATAAATATGTGTTCATTTCCTAATTTAACTCAGGAACTGAACAGCTGGCATATCACATGAAGATTAATAAACTCAAATGCCATGACAGTTCCTCAGGCAGCTATGATTAGTTTCAAATACTGCTGCTTTCACTGGTCTTTGAAAAACAGAGAGGAAACAATGGAAACAATCAGTGTTCTCATTTCATGTTCTATGTATACATCATAATAACTCTGGGTCTGTTTTCATTTATTAAAAATAATATTTTGTATTTCTGTCTACCTGAATATTATGAGGGTCTTATCTCTGCATTGTTTTTTTTTTTTT